CCGCCGGCTGCCGCCGCCGCCGCCGCGTCGTCGTCGCCCGGTGCGGCGGCCGGCAACGGCGCCGCCGGCGCTAGCGCCGCCGCGGTGGCCTCTGGCGGCGGCGGCGGCGGCGGGCCGCCACGTGTGATGGCGCTCACGCGTTCCCCGCCGGCGCTGGCTTCCGCTGCGTCGGAGATGTTCAGTGGCCACAGCGGCAAGTCAACTCCGCACCGGCGCCCGAGTTCCACTCGGATCAGCCCGGAAGGTAAGACATGATGTTGTTTGAATTTTCTCAAATCTCAGATTTTTCAAACGTTTCCAGGCCATCCGGTAAACAGGCTGATTTGCTTGCACTTGAAACACTTAAAAACAAAAAGATACTTGATCTTCTGGACAACAGCAAATATGGCTTTTGGCAGGAGCATAAACCCTTTCTGCAAAAATTTACGAGATTTGAAGCTAAGGCCCCCTGCCGCGACTGAAGCAGTAATTATACAGTGTATCAACAAACGCCTTTAAAGGATTGCATCAATTTTGGTTCGAACCTGGACTCCTGTCTTTTCGTACATCCAGGCTCCATAAAAAACAGCACCAGCAGTCGCACCTTTATGGGTTCTGTTACGGCACCCGCCGGGCTCGCCGGGTACGGCAACGACGGCAGCGTCAACGGCGGCGGTGGCGGCGGTGGCGACGGGGACGGCCGCGGGCACGGCGGCCCGCAAGCGTTCGTGTTCACAAAGAACAGCCCCGTCATGGTGCAGATGCTTCTGGCGGGTGCCGGCGGCGGCGGAGGCGGCGGAGGCGGTAGCTCTGCTGCGGCGGAGGCCTATGGCGGCGGAGGCGGCAGCGGCGCCGCCGCGCCGCCCATTATTAAGGGCCTTATGAAACACACAGTGGGTGGCACGCTGGCGCGATTTCACAGGTAAAGAGGGAAGCGGTAGCGGCGGAGGCAGTGGATGCACAGAGAAGGGCGTTGTGTACGAATCTCGTCCAGGGCCGGGTGAACTGTCACGGCAATCACGATTGGCCCTTGCGGTGGCTCAATCATTTCAGCCCCGCTGCCCTTTCTAAGACTCCATCACCACAAACACACCGCACAACTATACACTACAGCCATCGTACGACATTTTTTAGTACGACACTTCCGTACAAACGCGCCGCAGGGCCCTGGACGAGGCTAGTGACGAGGAGCTGAGTTACAGCCGTCTTGCGGCGGCCGCCTCCGCCAGCACGACGGACGCCGTGTCGTCGTACGAGGCCAGCCGTCGGGCGGCAGCGGCGGAGGCGGCGGCGATGCGTCGGGGGCTGTTGGAAGTTCGCGGTCTGATTGAGGCGCGGCAACGTGCGGCCCTGGCGGCTGGCAGCGGTCAGCTGAAGCAGATGAGCGACCGGCTGAGTGGATACATACAGGTGCCGAAGGGGTGGGGAGGGGAGGGGGGTGGGGAGGGGAGGGGGAGGGGAGCGGAGGGGTGGGGGGGAGGAGAGGGGTGGGGTGGGGTGGTGGTGCGGGGGGGAGGGGAGGGGAGAGGAAGGGAATCAATTCCGGTAAATAGCATCTTTCCGTGGGTGGTTTATAAAATTAATGATATGTTGATTAAGAAACCGGCTCCACCCACCCATCGCATTGCATTTGAACTTTTAAAATGTAAAACTTCCGCTTCCACCACTCTTCTCACGCCTTTTTCGCGGTCCCATCTCTCTTTCCTGCTGCCTTAATTAATCGGGTTTTTTCATCATTTTTCTCTCTCCCTCTCCCCCCTCCCTTCTCCCTCTCCCCCCTCCCTCCCCCCTCCCTCCCCTCCCCTCTCCCCTACCAGAATGACGTGGACAGGTTGATGGCGGGAAAGCCCACTGGCGCGGAGCCCGCCAGCAGCGGCGACGTGCCTCGGTACTTGCGACCCATAGCCGGACATCGCAGCGGGGGAGCGGTGGGGGAGAGCCCCTCCATCAAACCAGCACGGCTCATGGCGCCATTGTACGAGGTACGACGGTGACCATGTTATGATGACGGGCCCATGTAGACCCCTCGGATCTGTGCCGTACCGTGTCGTACTGTCCCGTCGGTGATATAGCTTTCCGTGACTGCGGCGGAGCGCGTTGTAGTCCTCAAGATCCCGCCCTCAGAAACGCACAAGTAAAGAAAGCACCCCGACACTCGACAGAGCTCAGCCCAGCCGAGATAAAGCTTCTCCACCAACGGAGGAGCCAATGCTGCTCGTCCTGACGCATGATGAAAAGCTGATGTTTCGTTAGACGTGGAGGAAAACGTGAACACCTTTCTTTCCAACACATGTTGCTGGTTTGCGACAAAGGGGAGGCTCTTCTCTCCTGGCACGCACGCATACATACATACATACATACATACATACATACATACATACATACATACATACATACATACATACATACATACATACATACATACATATACGCAAGTACGTGGCTTCGTTCATAAAATCACACAGCACGCGCCCACGCGTACTCGCATGCAGATGCGGCGAGTGGAGGGTAACATCCGGGCCGCACTTGCGGGTGGTCGGCACAGCAGTACGGACACGGTGGCGCGGGTGACGGCGGTGACGGCGGCGCGGGAGGCCGCCTCCGCCGCCGACTGGCGGCCCCTGGCGCAGTATCCAGTGGGGACCAAGGACACACGGAGGCGGAAAATGGCGGCGCACGTGCTGTACGGCTTGGATCTCGAGCAGTACACCTTGTAGTACACGTTGTAGTACAGCAGGGACTTGGGTGCCAAACCCTGCAGGAACTTGTTTTGGGCGGATGGACGGAGGCGGGTGTTGTTTTACGATGCTGCTGTAGTCGTACTGCGCGGCGATGGCTTGGCTGTAGCCAATGTTACAGCTACTGCCACAGCACGGCTGGATGATGACGCTCAACTATTGCAAAATGATGTAGGTCAGCGTGGTGATGATGGTTTCTAAGTGTTTCGATGAAAGCAAGCGGTCCAAGGTTTCTTGGAAATAAACTGGAAACATCGTTTTGCCCTATGGGCTATATTCGTACGGTTGTACGGATGAACGGTTGTACGGCGCATGCTTTCTGGGTGCATCGTACACGCCGGGACATGCCGCTTCCGTCGTCGCGGGGGAGAGGGACGCTCGTATCCTTAACTCTGCCTTGTATACGGACATATGTACGTACGTGCCTATAAGTAGGTGTGACGTAGGTGGCCGCCGTACGAATTTGGGAGCCGACCGGTAAAGTGGTGGTCTGCGGGTGGAGGATTGAGAGGCGTGCGCTTGCCGTTCACCTCCCCACCAAGCTACGCATGCACATATCATGCAAATCAGCACACTTCCTGCTACTACAGGTATTGTTATTTTTGCGTTGTCAATTTCACAGCGCTTTTTGTGATTGTTGGGATTTATACCGGAGAGCATTTTTAGGCGTTCGGCAGATATGCTTTTCGAACAAGTTTGAAGGCACAGCATGCGCGGCACACGAACGGAAGTCCAGCACCTCTCTCTCCCCGCTCGCGTCGATGGCCCGGTGGCCCGGTTGTTTTGTATGCTTGCAGATGAAGTTGGTCAAAAGCTTAGAAAAGTTGGTTGCTGCTTCGCAAGTTAGGTATCACCATGCTAGTTTGTCCTCTGTTGGCACGGGAGCTTCGGGTCGTACCGAAACTCCCGAAATCAGAAATAGAGTTCCCGAAGCCGGCCGGCTTGCATAAGTATTATCATACGCCGTATACAAAAGGTGTTCTGTGCTCCTATCTCCCTTAACCGTATTCTCATGGCTCTGCCGACTCTGACGTGCTTGCTGACCGTGCTGGGAAATTGTAGAGACGGGAAGCGGGGAGACCAGCTGCCAAGGCCCTTGCACTGCAGAAACTGTCAGCTACGAGCTGAAGCTCTAACGAGTGAAAGGCAAAATGCCTGTAACGAAGGAACTGAAGCATGTTATACTCGCCACTCAAATACGGTTGTATGACAGTCGCACAGAACCAGACTTAGAGATTCCGATCGCTTCGCTCCGTCGCATCTAAGTCAACAAGTATGCGGCCCGAAGGGCCGCCCGACGACCTTAGTCCGCGGTCAATAACTTTCAGGATGTCAAACTATTGCAAAAAACGCATTTTCATTCCGCGGCCTTGTAACAGGATTTTACTGGAAGACAGAAACAGACCCGTTCCCGAAACCAGAAATACCCCGATGCCTGGTTGGCACCTCTGTTGGAATAACTGTTACTGGTAGCTACCGGATTTCGTTGTATGCAACGAATGTCATTCAGCAGTCCTAATGTAAGCTAAAATAACTTTCCTATATCCTTGTAAAGTTTCTGTACAACGCATATTGCATACCAACACGGTATACCTTTTACGTCCTGTAGAAAACTGGCTCGAGCGTATAAGAAAGCTGCTGCCCTTGGCTACCCCGAACTTCTCTGTTAGCTCATCTTAGGCTGCTCACCTCCAAAGTTTTACCTCAAGAAAAGCAAACACGCACAAGCTTTGCGCTTAGGTGTCTGCTCCAATTTTAGCCTGCTGCTCTGCGCCTTCTGTTTCTCCATGGACACCGAGGCGTGCGTGACCTGTCAAGGCGTGGACTTTGTGGAGTTCAAGTCAGAGGGCGACCTTGTATGCAGGGTAGGTTCTAGTCGCGAAGCAAGGCGTACGAAGTGCAGCTGCTGCCGCAATTCATCCAAGCTCTGCTTTTACAAGTATTCCTTTATGTCACAGAGCTGCGGAACAGTGAAGGAATCCCGGCTAATCGACGAGCGCTCGGAATGGCGCACGTTCAGCGATAAGGTGGATTCATGTCAGGGAAAATACCCTGACCGCATAGCAGGCTATGTTTGATACAGTCTGAGCTATGTATCTAAAACTGCATGGTGGTCCATCGTAGGACAAGGACACGACTGACCCTAATCGTGTCGGTGGGCCTACAAACCATCTGCTGGAGGGACTTACGACCACGATTGGACGCGAGCGGGTGAGAGCAGGCGCGGCTAAGGGAAAAAATAGCATATTTCGCATGCATCCGTGAGGAGACCACGCGAAATAAGGAGTGTAGATGCTTGCTGGCCCTTGGGGGGGAAAGAAAACTCATGGGCGCTGATAACACCCTTACACCCCCACAACCCCCCACAGCAGTCATATCCGCGCACTAAACCCTCTCTCCCATACCTTTTCCATCTCCTTTCCTACTCCTGCTGCAGCATTATCACCGCCCTCCTCCTTCTCACCCTCCCTCTATCTCTGCGCAGAATGACGGCGGCCTGTCTTACACGCTCAACCGAATTCATGCTCGTACCAACAACCCAGATCGGGTCATCATGGCGGCGATGAAGGAGGTCGGCCGGATGTGCGAGCTGCTCAAAGTCAACGGGACGGTCAAAGATCGCGCATTGGAAATTTATAAAGAAGTGGTGGAGGTGAGATTTTGAAAGCCACAGCGGACAGCAAGGCTAGGAGGAACATCTTGGTACCTAGGCAGCCCGTTAGCAGTTTGCCGTCGTGCTGTGGAACCTAGATATTATTTCGCAAACTGGGCACTTAGTGTTCTTCTTCTTCTCGTTTTCGTTGGCTGGCGACCGACCCCATATGCTAGTTGGATTCAAGAGTGAGTCCACCGTCTCTCGAGTCTCTGGGTTCTGGCAGGGCCCTCTGGTAGTGGGCGAAAGGGGGGGAAAGACGAACCACGTGAACGAGTGAAGCTGCTGCCAGGGAAAGAGTGTACAAGAAGTAAAACTGACCCGATAGGCGAAGGGGGGACCGAGCACCATCCAACGAACCTAGATGGGACGGGATGAGCACCGTAAGGCACTCTCGCCTATGTCCTACGCCTCATGCTCGTTGAGTTCCCTTGGTGGGCCTTATTAGCTATAGGATGGATGAGAAGGGAGGCGCCGCACATCCGCGCGGGGGCATTAGAGGTTCAGCAATAGCGTACGGCGGACCGAACGCGCCCTAGGACCCCCCTCCCAGAGGTTGGGGGCCGTTAGGTGGTGGTGGTAGGAAGGTGGGCTTCGGAAAGGGCCGAGTGGCGACTGGTCCGAGCGAGTGGAGGTCTGCTGATGGGGGTGTACCCGGTTTGCTCTCCATCTGTTCGCACTGACCCCCGCACGCCCATACATACCTATCCATAGTACCATAAACACACACCGTCTATGTTTTTTCTTCTCGTCGTTTGTTTGTGCTTCGTCGTAAACCCCCTCCTCTTTCCCCCCCCCCCGCACACACACCACTCCACGGCCGCCACCGCCTCTGCAGGCTAAGACGCTCAAGGGCCGTTCCGTTAAGGTATGATTGCGTATGGTTGGAGGAAGGGGGCCGGGGGAGGGAAATGATGGTGGTGAAACACGTGGAGGGGTTGTGCATGTGGCTGGGTGAGTCGGTAATGTTGACTGAAGGACAATCTGGCTAGTTTACTGACGTCCAGTTTCGAAGTTCCTTCCCATTTGTCAATCGCATCGACCGACCGGCCATCCAACATTATCGGTCAAACATGATTGGTTCTCCGCATCTTGATATTCATTCCCATCCTTCCATTATCTGTATATATTATGCTGCGTCGTGCGCTGCAGTTGAAATCAAAGCGAACTTCATCTTGGAAAGAGGACGCCTTGCGTTGCTCTCGTTGTTTTGTTGGTGGTCGCGCCGGCAGCGTTTAGTGTTTTTTGTGTCGGGCATGTGTTCTGGTGCGCGCAGGCTCTCGCCGCCTCCTGTCTGTTCTGGGCATGTCGCCAGGAGAAGCAGGCGCGCACGTTCAAGCAGATCGTGGCGGTGCTTGGAAACGACGTGAGCAAGAAGGAGATTGGCCGCTGCTTCAAGGTGGGTGGGCGGGCGGGCGTTTCGAGTTGGTGGACTTGTGTGTGCCTGTGTGTGTGTGCCTGTGATGTGTGTGCCTGTGATGTGTGTGCCTCTGTGTGTGTGTGTGTGTGTATGTGTGTCAAGGGGTCCGGGCCGTTGGTGGGGATGTCGGGGTGGTGTCCTCTGAATCAGGAGTTCAGGGAGAACCTCACCCAACCCCTCGTTACCCAACCCGCCAAACTGCCACACAGGACCTGCAGCAGCTCAAAAAGGACGAGCTGCACAAGCAGGGCGCTTCAGCTGACGCGTTGGCGTCCACCATGAACCAGACTGTACAGCACCCTGCAGAGTTTGTGGTAAGATTTATGTCGTACTTTTGGGAGGGCTTGGTTTGGGGGAGGGTTTTATAGGAGAGGGAATGCGGCCCTGCAGGCGCTTTGCCGTAAGGATGGGAACCTACCCGCCCCATCACACACTCGTGTGGCCAAACGAGGCCTTGCTAGTTACTTTCAACAATGACTCACAATGACCCTACATCCCGCATTCACCTCCGGCGGTTGGTTTCGGTTTTTACAGCGCAACTACTGTAACCACCTGCGGTTGGAATTCAAGTGCAAGAAGCTGGCGGAGGAGATTGCGCAGAACGCCAAGCCACAGGACCGCCGTGTCCCATGGGACGGTCGCACGCCCACGTCCATCGCATCCGCCATCGTGTTCATCGCCATGATGCTGTGGGAGGTGGGTATGTCTGCAACATATGTATGTTTGCGCATCCTGTCTTCATTAATTGCTAAGTCCCCCGTCCGAGGTGCATAGTAAATGATTTGCGCCATGGGCAGGAGGAGCTGGCGAGGGCGGTGAGAGGACAGGAGAAAACTTTACCGATGGAAGTACTAGTAGTCCAGCGGCGTGTACGATAATGCCATAGTGACATGTTTTATTCGCACGTGCACGACAGCAGCGTGCGAGAGAGGGGCACGCGAGCCCCGGACTGGGGTACCATATCATTGCCAGGCAGAGGGGGGTTATCTTTGGGCCGTACGTGCACGAAGGGAAAAAAACAGGAGGACGTCTGGTGATTCAGGCGGCCTTCTGCTCTGTTCCACATATCCAGGCCGCCTTCTTAACTTCTTAACATAAGAACATCCTTGTAACTTAACAATTTTTATAACTTTATGATGCGACCTCGCACGTGCACGCTGCCCAACGAACATCGAAAAAGCTTTTGAGATATAATATCCTTCACAAACATCCATTTTTACAGCTACAACACCAGTCACCACTCAACCCCCACGAATTCCAAGGCCCTTGCGCTGAAGCGCGATGTGATCATGTCATCTCCCTGCTTGCGCATGCAGATCAAGAAGGAAGAGGGCCAGGCGGGGGCTGGCGGCTCGGCTGGGCAGCCCGCTTTCGCCAGCCTCAAGGCCGCCAAGGCACGAGCGGATAGCGCCATGCAGAAGGTCGCCATTATCTCTTCCGTAGCAGAAGCCACCATTCGAGCCGCGTACAAGGACCTCTTCCCCTCGATTCCGTCACTGCTGCCACAGCAACCGGGTGACAAGCCGGAAGACCGAATTACGCTGGAGATGGTGGCCAAGTTGCCGAACCCTGACTCCCGAGGCGGCGGCGGCGGGATGGGCATCTGATGTTCGCAGCTGGGTTGTTTGCTAACAAAGCAACAGCGCTTAGGCAGGAAAAGGTGTTGAATGGTGGTAGTGTGACGGCCGCGGTGTGATGTGACGGCGGGCTTGGCATGCGGGTGGGTGGTGGTATGATGGCAATAGGTGGTGGTAGTGGTTTTGAAATTAGGTAGTATCGTGTTTTTTTAGTATGATGGCAAAGAGATGCCGCCGCGGGGTGGTGGTTAAATGGTGTAGTAGGCAAAGATTTAGCAACATGAACGACGAAATGTGCGTTTGTATGTACACCCGCGAAAAAAATATTACGTACTTACGTTTGCACGCCCTGAAAAGGAAGGCGTGCGCGTATGTGTGTGTGTGTGTGTGTGTGTGAAGAGGAGCATGCATCAAATGTGTTTGTATTCGTGGCGACTTGAGGGAGCTGGGAGGGCCTTAGCTGCCTAAGCGGCTCTTTGTGGTGATGGTAGTCGCAGTGACGATGACAATGCAATGTCGTTTACGGCAATTCATACGGCTACTTCCGGACTTTTCTGTGATTTTATGTGCGGACGGCTTCTTCTTCTTCATCTTCTTCTTCTTGGCCTGTGTTTGTCACACCCTTCGTGTTCCTACGGTCCGCCACAAGCTGGCGTTTCTCGCTGAGTCGCAAACTGTTCTTGACCGGTAGCGGCTTCACGTCCTTTGTGCCTACGGCCTGTGCTTTTGGTTCGCGTATTAACTGTCCATTTTCATGTCCACCTTGGCCGTCTGTTCGTCTGCATGTCTATAATTACATCATGCATTGATGGACTGAATGATGTGATAACAACGAATCCGACCGGCTCACCAGTGCCGGCCCCACACCCCACCCATACACTGTAATTGGAACGAGAAGGTTGTCACGCCATCTGACGTGCTAACAGACACAAGAAATGCGGATGGATCACTACTTAACCCGTATGCCACCTCTGGTCCCATGTGCATGCTGCAACAGAACGCAGGCAAGTGCAAGTACAGTGAGGCCACCAGTGAATTGTTTCCACGTTTTAACATGCGGCCGCTACACCGAGAATCATCTCTTGACAGCTAACCGAAACTATCGCCGTGAGGAAGCTAGATTCAGCTTCCGTACGATATGATACGTGGACAGCGCTGACAGCTGCCTGCGACAACCTAAAAGCAAGACGACTCCCCTATATAATAAAACTATCGATAGTTTGACCCCGCCTAACCCACACTAACATGACCTCGCTCGCGACGGACTCTCAAAAAACTTGTATTACGTAGCTTAGCGTGCTCATGGTTGACTCTTTTATGTGCACCGCTGCGCTAGTCACTATTCCGTTCACGCGCTTGCCTAGTAGTCCGTTTACGCGCTTGCTTCGCCGTCGGTGCCCCCCTGCACTTTGGCCCACATTTGGCCTTAGTGCGACGGCTTCTCGCGCGGACACCGTCGCCGCTGACAGGCGGCGCCGAGGGCCCCTGCCCCTGCCACCAAGGCAGCGACCGAAGGCACTTCTCGAAGCTCTCTCCTACACGGACCTCCAGCCTAGCTGAGGAACTCGCCACGTCCGCTTTGGCTTCCTCCCAGAGCTTCGACACGTGTCCGAACAGCGTGTCGTGCAAGGCCTTCATACCTAGGCGGGAAGTCTTCTCCAGCACGTATAGCTTGCGTAAGTTCGTGCGCTCGTGCGGGCGATGGATCACGAAGCCGTGCGGCGACACCTGCCACTTGGCGCCGGTGGAGTTCATGGCCAACGCCTGAATGCACTTGTTGTACCCATAGCCGCGATACCTGAGCGAGGGCGGGCGCACCACGATATGAGTAGCTGCCAAGGAGTAATAGTAGTAGTAGTAAATCATTACTATTGGAACCAGCAGGAACTTGACCAACAATATAAGCGAGTTGTGCAATGAAGCGAGGGGGATATCAAGCATGGCCCCCTCCTCTTTAACCAACGTTACCATCCCTGGTGCCATCCTTTTATTTCGCGCCTTCCTAATCCACAGGGTAAGTTGTATACCCTGAGTCGGCAAAATGTACCTGAAGTCGAACCAGGGTGTATCCCAGCGCCAGCTCAAGTACCAAGGCTCGTACTCCAAGTTGTACTCGATGTCGTACGTCTCACGGCTCGTGAGCCACCGCTGGTAGTTCGTGGCGTTGTGGAAGACGGGGTTCTTGTACGAAAACATTGTAACGCATTTCTGGAGGCCTTCATTAAGTGCTGGCCGGCCGTCCATCGCAATGAAGTCCGCGTATTCTGTACCATTGCAGTGGGTGTCAAATGCTGGCCAAACGAAGGCGCGACCGCTGCGGCAGCCTTCCGTGTAGTTTGCCAGGATTCCTGGGTCAGCCAGCGCATAAGAGATGGACATGGAAGGCAGCAAATCCACATCAACGTTTGTTATGAGGTCCGTATCTGCCATAAGTCGCGCGTAGTTGCGCAAGGTGTTGAGCGGGTACAAGGTGCTGGCTGCCCGAGTATCGTTGAACAGTTCATACATAAGGACAAGGCGAAATGCACAGCCAGCCGTGCGGTTTGCCTCGGAAGCGCGGAAGAAAGCATCAACGGTTTCGATAGCGCCCAGCAACTGCTGCTTGTTCATTATGGACAGCTTCTTCTCAGGATTTACTAACGGCAGGTAAATTGCTGCGGCCAGCGGGCCCCTCCACGTCGAGCACTGCGCTTTGAGCTGGTTCAGCCGCGTTACCGACAATTGAGTCACCAACGTAACGGGTATCCCAGCAGGCTTGGATGACCACCATATTTGTGCTGCTGCTTGGCAGCTGTCAAGGTCTTTGGTGAAGTGTCGCCATGTTGTCCGTTCCGCAGTAAGGCATCCGCGACTGTCAAAGCACCGAAAAAATTTAGCTTCCTTGACGCTTCTGTTTTCTGCCAATGTTATGTAAGCGGACACAAGGATGGTCATGAAAGATAAACACCACCTGAAACCGGGACACATGTTTACTAAGCCAACGGTAAGGAATCACCCTGAATCTGAGCAGGAATTAATAAAGGGCATCATGTATGTATACAACTTGAAGGCACCCTTAGATGCCGTGGAAGTCCCCCTTTTGCTAGCGTAACAATCTACGTTGACGATGTTGAAACCTCGCATAAACTTGTAAGGGCTGGATGAACCAGAAAAGCTTATGGATCGCGTGTCAAATAAGATTCAAGTAGATAGAAGTTACGTGGAAAGTCAGGCGGGATGGGTGGAAAGTCCATGCGGATTTAATACGGAAACTCCGTACGCTGCGCATTGTGGAAGTGCTGTGTGCTTTCTCACTTCTTATACTCGGATTCTTCTTTTACGCGATCTGAACCGTAGGAGCTCGCTGCTGAAGCTTGTACATCCATCCATCCATCCATCCATCCATCCACGATCTGCCCATCAAAAATCCATGGAACCATGGAATAAGCCGTGATTAACCATTTCCAAGCCTGGGAATAAATCCATGTGTGCTTACTTGGACAAATATATGATTTAAGGAGTCTTGGTTCTTTATCCAGTGGACAATGAGGGCCTAATTCATGTGCGGATTATCCCTGCGCTAACCAATGACCTTAGCAATCTGCCCAGGATTAACAGGGATTAGACTGGATCAGCACGTCCCTAAGGAAACTTTTTTCATTGGTGCGCGCGTCCCAGGGTGAAATTACGAGCAGTGGATCCTAGAACTGTTTATGAACTTGGTCAAAGTTTCGAATCTCTGTTAAGCGTATATACCAGCCGAACTCCTGTGTGGGCTTATCAAGGTCCATAGCCTTCACGCCGGGCACACTCAGTAGGTTCGGTAAATCCTTAACGCTGTTGTTTATTGTCTGGAGGTAACTCTGGCCCCTTTGGTAGGTTGCATTTTACTTCGTCTTACGATTTGCCCCTTTTTGGCCATCGCGTAAGCATCTTAGCTACCTACAGGTCTTCGCCAGACCACCCTGCTTCCATCAGCCGTAAAGCCTCATCCAGGCTTAATACATCACGTAAGTTCGGTTTGGTTGCTTGGGTTGCTTTCCCAGGAGCCTTGTTGGTAGGTTAGGTAGGCTAGGTCAGAGGGTTGCAAAAACGGTCTAATCCCCCAATCCCGGGGGGTGGTAGTGGTCAGCCATCCCCCCATCCTGGCTGGGGTGGCCGACTCCCATCTCCCATCTTAGGGGCCCGGTGCTAATCCCATCCCTTGAGACAGGTTTCCCATCCTGCCAGCCTGGGTCCCATCCCCAATCCTATGGCCAGGGTTTCCAATCCCATCCTGCAGCTGTGTTCCCCCAATCCTCATCCTGCCAGCCAGGGTCCCTTCCCAATCCCTTCGACCAGGGCCATCCCCATCCTGCAGCTGTGTTCAGATCCGAAAGCTGTCAGCCAGGGTCCCATCCCCATCCCTTGCCAGCTACAAACCTACTCCTTACGTTTACACAGGTGCTGTAATATCGGCTTTCTCTTTAGGCGTAAATCAGGGGAATGACCAGGGTTATTTTCTATTTCCGCGAGATATTTTTCTCTTGCTCTATGGCTTATTTCCTCTAGCGTCAAATTCCGCCCGGCTGTGTTCGTTCCGAAGCAGACTGAAGCGACAAACGCTCGTTGAAGCGGATCTCGACTGAGGAAGAACTCGCATCACAGAGGTCTACGTATCTAATTGCACACTGGCTGCTATTGCAAATCGCGCGTCCTAAGGGGGGAAGGACTGTTATGTTCGAAGGACGGCCACAGCAACAAATTATAATGCTGTGGTTAGAATGGCAGAACGTACAAGGGTGTTCTGTCAAAATGTCCATGGCTGGGAACGTGCACCATTGGTTC